GACCAGATCTACCCGGGCTGGAAGGAGAGCTGCATGGTGGTTCCGCTTGGGTTTGTGAGGTGCGTGGTTTGTGGTCTAGGCTGGAGTTTGGGAATTGAGTCTGCGGGTTTGATTGGAGGGGCATCCCCCTCATGAGCTTGTTGATACCGTGACTTAGGGCTCAGCTCAGCGACTTCCAACGCACCGCCAAGCGTGATGATGATCCAGCATCATCTGATCTCAGTAGTACAGTACGGACCTTGTCGGTCCTGCAGATCTCAACCACTTGATTGCAGCAGCAAGCAGGCAACACCTCCGGATAGGTTACAGCAGATGCTTCTGGCCTGAGACCTTAGCTCTTTGCACTTTGGCACTCGAATTCCGAGTTGAAAGCTCGGAGATTTAGCAGGCTGCCGGCCAAAAGCGATCAGACACATAAGCTCGATGTTCACTCCTTCACCAAACCCGCGATCAAATTGCAGCGAGGAGAAGCTCGGTTACACTGGCGAGTCCTCCGTGCAGGCCGTCGGTTGAGCAGCCGTCTCGGGATTGGAGAAGCGGTTTCGGGTTCGCAGGACACTGTTCACCATCGGGCTATGCAGTATGTCCCATGAGGAATTGACAGTGGATATTGATATTGATGTGCATTTCTGTGCCACCTAGCAGGACATAGCGGGGAGACTCGAACAGGGCACGCAGAAACCTCATTCAAACCTCTATCCTGCACGCGACTTCAGGACCCTTGACCATCTTCACCCGAGAACAATCGTAGCCTGACGAGTTTTTCTTCAGCAGGAAAGGCTGCGTTTCTGAGTAAATGCAGCGAGAAGAGAGGCAAACTCGTGGGAGGAAGAAGCAGGCGAGGAGGAAGAGGGGGAGGGGGCGGCGGAGCAGGAGAAGGACCAGAAAAGTGAGAAGGGAGGAAGGAAGCACAGAACATGCTCGCCCTGTATGAGATTCCTTAAATTGTATGGTTGTTGTTATTTTTGATTATTACTACAACTGTTATTCTCAGCAGCATTATTGTTAGTCTGGCATTCGCAGGCCGCCAGCTTTGACTGGGCCAAGAAGGCTTAAGCCGCGGCCTCGGGGTCTTGGGGGCTTCGGCTGAGCCTGCGTCAGCGGGTTTTGAGAATCTTTGTTTTTGGGGTCTTGGGCGGGAGAGGAAGAGAGGAAGAGCGGCCCGCAATCGCCTGACGGCCTAAGGTGATTGAGGCAGCAGGGCGGATCCCAGCTTCTGAAAGCTTGAAGCGCACTTAGCAGAGGCTGGGAACCCGCCATGGTCCTCTCCACCCTTAGCCTTGCAACCCATAGCCTACACCTCACCCTCAGCCAGGATGTCGGGTTCCGAGTTTCTCGGCTTCCTGGGCCGTCCGAATTTTGAGGCCCTCAGCAGGTACACTACAAAGAATTGCTTTTAAGACTTCTGTATCCTGCAGAGTTCAGTCGAATCAATTTCTTGCGGTGCAACTGTGCCGCCCGAGGGTGCTACGAGCAAGCTCGGCCATAGAATGCACCCCCTTTTTCCCATGCAGGCCCGGCCCAGAGCTACATCGCGCGAGCCGTCACGGCTCCTAATAACTATGATCTGCAACGGTGCCAGTGCTTGTATTGCTGCACTCCTGCCACCACCACTGCAACCACTGCCATATCATCACATGAATGATGAGGAGGAGGACGGGCATAAGGACGGGGATGAGACCAGGCGGAGGATGGCGATGATAATGGGGATGATGATGATGATGATGATGATGAGGATGAGGATGATGATGATGATGATGATGATGATCGTGATGGTGGTTGTAGTGGTGATGATGATGACGACGATGACGACCATGAGTCTTTCAACCACGCACGGACGGGTGGAAAGAAGGATTCTGCTTCACGTATGTTAGGGTTCATATTTGGGATTTTGGTGAGTGTATCAAGGAATCTTGTTGACTCTTAGCAAGTTATATACTATGAAATAGAAACTCCACAGCACATAAATTCATCCAACTAAAAGATGGGATTATGTTTGTGTGATGAGGGCGTGCACGTCTGTGTGTGTGTGCGCGCGCGCGTGCTTGTGCGATTGTGTTTATGCATGTTTGCAATCATGCTGCAAATGCCGGCACTGACTTACACACACACACACACATGCACACACATACAGATAGACAGAGACGGAGACAGCGACAGCGACAGCGACAGCGACAGGGACAGGGACCGAGACGGAGACGGAGACGGAGACAGACAGACAGACAGAGACAGAGACAGATGCAGTGCCACGCCTTACACAATCTCAATAAAGTGACTATTGTTGCCCTTGCGATTTGGCTTTAGTTTTCTGTCCCTGTTCCAGCGGTTGTGGCTGTAGTTGTGGCTTGTGCGTGACTGCGGCATCGTCGTCCTCGTCGTCACTGCTTCGTGCTACAACTTCTGCTGCTGATGACCCTATACTTACGAATCTCTGCATCCCAGCAGCTCTCAGTAGTGACTTGATCAAATCCCAAACCCCGCACCCTGCACCCCGTCCCTGCGCCGTCTCACTGAAGCTTGGGCCGGGCCAGGCCCAAGGAAATTCGAATCCCCAGCGTTCTCCGCGAAAAGACGTTTTTTGGGGAGACGTGAGGCTTTAGTTGTTTTAAGGATTAAGGCTTCAGAGCTTTTAAGGCCTTAGCAAGCTATGGTTTTCGCACTTCGGGCTTGAGGATTCCTGGCATCTTTTTTTATTTTTTTGGCTTTATGATGGCTTTATCATGGCTTTTATGGGGTTCAGAGAGCTTGACGACCCAGGGCTGGCCCACAACACCGGGAGGGTGCAGGTTTGGGGTGGATGCGGCTATGACTCAGGCTATGACGGTTACTCTTAAAGGGCTTAAGTTGTTTATGATGGTTGTCATTTTATCAGCGCTGGCATCGTACTGTAACGATGATTCTGGTGATCATTGCTACTAGATTCGTATTGGAGAAATTTGGGGTGCTTCGGCTTCTGCGTGGTTTTCAAGCCTCTCCTCCCAGGAAAAACTCGAAGGCCCAAAGCCCTACCAGCCCTAAACCCTAAACCCTAAACCCTAAACCATAAACCGCAGCCCTCAGAGTCTCAGATTCGCAGAGGTCCTGGGAGGGGGATGATTCAAAAGGCCAGCGGTAAGACTCGAGACCTTAACAACAATTATCCGCCTTCGGGGGGTGCATCTTAGTCTATCCGTCACACAGAAGACTATAACCGGAACAGCTCCAAGCATTGGGTTTGGATCTTGTGGTGCTTTGAGAGAGTTCCAGCTTTGGGAGAAGAGGGGGGTTTGGCAAATGAGCTCCATACGGTACTTAATCCCGGAGTTTCTGACAGAAGCTATGATAGGCTTCGACAGCTTCCGCGTCTCAGCGCGGGGTCCTAGGTTCGCCCAAGTACGCGTCGTTCCACCCGAGGTGACGTACAGCACGGCAACGAGCGCCTGCCAGTCAGGCAGATCGGAGTACCGGGTTGAAGTGACGTTGAAGTGTCTCGAACCCTAAAGACAAGGATCCCACACCCTACAAGGCCCTGCAATCTCAGGTCCACAGGTCGCAGAACTCCTCCTTCGATTGGCCCTGCCTCCGGCGTCGGAACCCGAAGCCTGCGAATGCCAGTCATAAGTCATAGAGCCGCAACGATCTTGGGAGGCCACGGATGGAGGCTGGCCATCAGCTTGCTCTTGGAGATTTCACAGAGGCCGGAGCGGTCAGGGGGTTTTAGAAGTGCGAGGTCGCTGTGCCCAGGACCAGGAGGTTCAACACATCTCCATCTGGCCTGGGGCGGTCTAAGTACGAGCTTCTATCCGCACAGGGAATGGGTATGTATATAGACAGATGATCGCTTTCCCTATAGGTGTGAACCCAGACTTCAAGGTTAGCAAACCCTTGCAGCTTTAGGTTGAGGGATAAGTGACAAGAGGAGATGAAAGCCATGAAACCTCAACCCTCCATCTGCAACGCAAAGACGCAAAGCCTGCTATGGCCCAATGACAGCAGTCCTTCGAATTTCCGTCCACAGCCAGTGACCAGCCGCAGACTTTGCAGAAGCTGTGTCAGGCACCTGCGACCCAATGCAGCTTCATTGACTGCTGCAGCTGGTGCCTGTGCCGGGAGCCGCAGAGGTTGGTAGTTCGGGTCCTCTTCTCTGCATCTCTCGCTCTGTCTCTGTATCTTTCTCTTTCGTTGTTGAGTTCTTCCTTTCTTGTCTGTCTTTCTTCCTTCCGTCCTTCCTTCCTTCCTTGCTTTCTCTGTCTCTGTCTCCGTCTCTGTCTCTCCCTCTCTCTCTCTCCCTCTCTCTGTCTCTGTCTCTGTCTCTGTCTTTCTCATTCTCTCCATGTCTCGCTCGGGTTTCAGGCAGTTCAGAGACGGCCTGATATCCGGTGATCGTAGGAGAACCCGTCTGCTGTTAACGAGTGTCATCGTGACTGTGCGTGGCGTGGAGCAGCGTCATCGTCGTGACTTTATGCCGGGGTTTTGGCTGTGGCTTCGATCGCTTACCGTGGTTGCATTGCCCCTGCTGCCGTTTCTACCAATACTGCTGCGGCTGCTGCTGCTTCTGGAGTGTCGATGTAAGCCCGGCGCATGCAACCCAGCCCCAGCCTGGAACTCCCTTTTGCCGAGGTGTCGTCCCAATCCTGGTCCAGTGCCGTTCAGCTGTTAAGGTGGGAGAGAAACATGTCGTTATCAATGGCCCGCCGAGTACTAAGTATCCTTTTGCTTGCCCACCAAAAAAGGGGTTCCCGTGTACTTGTGTTCGGGGTTAGAGCTTGAGGGCTTGATGGGGTAAGGACCTTGGACGTGAGGGAGGGGGAGGTGTTCAGACCGTGGCTTTGTGCTGGGGAGTTCTAGATTCCGGATACCGAGCCCTGCGAACATGCGGCGAATGAAGATGGAAGTGGACTCCACATACTTGAGGGTGCTCTTCTAGCACAGGCATACTGCATGTAGGGGTTTGAATGATAAGAAGCGTTACAGTAGTATCATTCCGATCAACACTGAAATCCTAGCTAAGGTATTCAGTCGTCTGTTGTTGTAAGCAAGACAACCTTGCAGTGAAAAGCTTGCAACATTTATGAACTCGTCCGTTCATTTCGCCTACAGTGTTGAGCTTGTGAGTACAGTCTACTGAAAGTTCAAGTGTGAAGCCCACGCGGACTTAAGTTGGGGTGCACAGCACACTCAGATTCAGAACCCCTCTCGTCAAAAGACTGTACGAAACCAGGCACGAGCGCGGCACAGTGGCTCGGGCTGTGTTGCTACAAAGCTGCGAGGTCGCTTGCTCCAGTTGTCGTGTTAGCCAGAAAACAACTTGTGCAGGTAGGGCTCATTGCAGAATGAAGGTTGGTGCTGTTCTTTGAGCCATGTCTTAGAAGGATCCGTCAAGTTGGCCCATTTGCCCAGTGTGTAACGCCTAGCAAACGCACTGTAGTGCCCCAATCCCGGTTTGAGCACCAAGTCATCAGCATTGCTATTGCTATCGCCTCGCATGGGACTCTAAGAACTGTCGCGCAAACAAGACCGGAATCCCGCCAAAAGAGCGCTTAGCCCTGACAGCCTCTGAGCATCCTGAAGCGACAGGGTGACTGGAGCGAAACTGCGGAATGGGAGCAAAGAGGAGTCGGGAGATTGTGAGAGTAATGGGAAGAGAAATTGCAGGTACTGCAGCAAGCTGAGCGTAGTAGCAGATGTGTCTCAGAGAGTACAGGAAGCTTTCGCAGGTCTCCTGTGCCTGGGCTCTGGTTCTGCCGCTGCTGGCTGCGGCGCAGGCAGCATACTTTATCGGATGCAGGGGACAAGTGCCCAGACGAAGTCTCGGGTACATGGGAAAGCCATCCATAAACCCTCAAGAAGCAGCAGCGAAAATATCGCTGTAGACAAGGCTTCGGCTGTGGCCGCCACTACGGCCATGGCTGCGTTGCCCTGGGCACCTGCCCTCGCGGCGCAAGGCGCTCGGAAGTGTGAAAGCAATGGATTTGTTGTAACTGTGGTTCGCGACCCAAGCCCTGAAAAATTCAAACTAAAACCCTAAACCCTCAAATCCCAACCCACTGACTCACCCCTATACTCACCCCTCAACTCTCAGACAGGAAACCTCATACCGTCATGCCGTTTTCAAAACGCTCCTACGTTCAAGATCCCAGGTTCCGAAACCTGCAGCGCGAGCAGATCACAGCTGGGGCATTGATGCAGAGGGCTCAGCACAGCGTCTAGATCCAGACTCTGGTCTGACTTGATGGTTCAGGCTTTCATGTCAGGATGTGCGGTGAGGTAGTCACGATCCCATCCCATGTACACGAAACCATTGACTCTTCAGAATCATTGATGACCTGGGTTTGGCATCTGGCACTCTGACCCCGATCCTGAGCTTGACACTTGAATCTCGTACCTCTGCAGCACGTGCATCCAAGCCGGCTTCAGTATCTCGCCAACGAGAGTCTGCGGCCGCAGACTGGGCATATGCTTTAAGAATCTTTAAGATAGACATGCACTAGGCCCCATGCATCCTTGATGATCAGCCCTTCCAGGCAATGCAGTCGGACATAGGTTGAGGTAAGGGGCATATCAAAGCGCTTCCTTCAAGCTGCCATGTTGGCCACCGATGCTGCCACTCTGCTGCCGGAAGTGCAGGCCTTCGTGGCCCGAACGCGTGCAAGCAATTTGGAGTTGAAGCGCGAGATACGGCGCCTCAAGACAGTGAGAACAGCACTACAGCATGCCATCGACGGCCAGTTGCAAAGGCTCCCGGAGCTACAGTTGGCTGGTGGCGTGGGAGCGACAGTGCGTCTGGCTCAGGCCTGCGGTGCTCTGAAGACCAGAGCCCAAGAGCTTGAGGATGAGATCGCGGAAAAGCGCGAGAGAAAGCTGCGCATGCAGCGGGAGCTGGAAGAGAGGAAGGCCAAGCTGAGAGATGCCCCGCCAACCACGCCTGCCAAGCTGAACAGCAGTCCACTCAAGGTGACGCCGGCATTTGGGACGTGCAGCGGCGGCGGCAACAGCAGCTTAACTCATATCAGTCGCAAGGAAGCAGCGCTGCTTCTGCGGCAGGAGCTCTTCCGGAAGAGATTCTTGCTAAGACGGGACTACGTCGGGCCCCGTGCCTGATTCTTTTTTCAGATGGACGTCAGACTTGCCACCGGCTTCTGGAAAACGTTGGCTTTGCTTGCACTTCTCGATCTAACCCGGAGCGACACGAATCCCAGGCAGCCGTGCAGGCATCCAACAAAAGCACCCGAAAGCAAATACCCGAAGCGTGAGTTACACTGAACAGTGCCCAACGTTGAGTGCCTGACCGTCTGCTGGACATCCTAGCATGGTCTTGTTGAATTTCCTGCACGAGCCCAGTGACTGAAACCTGATTTTGCTAAGTGGTCGTACCCGGAACAACTCCGCTTAGTTTGGTTTTAACCCTGGTTGAACCTCGTGCCCCGAAACCTGCAAGCCAAGCTTCACCCACGGAAAGCCTGCCTGCATAATGAGCTGCTTCATGAGGTACACCGCGCTGGCGTCTTCGAGCCCCGCTCGCTGGGCATACCTGCTTCTCCAGGCTGCCTGAATATCGAAAGCCATCGAACCTGCGACATGAGTAACGAATTCTCAAGTTGGCTGCAGTTAGCTTGGGAACAAGAGCACCCTATGAAGGCCACGTAAGAGGCCCTAGAGCCCCTATAAAACCAAAGCCCACCCACCCCCTCCAACTTTGGGAGCCGCCAGGAGATGCGGAGTCGAGTGCTGGAGCCCAACTTGGCCGGGGCCTGGGAAGTCCTTTGCCTTGGCTCCGAGAATGGCCGGGAGTTAAGTGCCTCTTTGGGTGTGGGGGTTTTAAGCGGGGGGTGAAGTGGGGTTTTAGGGAGTTTTATTGGCTTCAGGGGTTTCTTGTTGGCCGCGGAGCAGGTTGAGGATCTGCGAGTGCTGTGTAAGATTCCAGTGTGTTTCGGCAGTGTTTGTCAGTACAGGGACAGGTGACGCGGCCCGTTAGATCAAGCCCTGCTTCCTTGCTGGGACCTCAAGATTTTAACTGGAGTTGGATTGGTGCTACCCTTGACGATTCAAATTTTGGGTGTTTGTTTCTGCGCTGGGGCTGCGGAGCACCTTTGCTGCGTGAGAGACAGAGCCGAAGCTGAGCCCGGAATAATACCGAGGGAAATGTAAAACCTCCAGAACCTTCACCCTAAAATCCCAAAGCCTAGCCTAGAAGTACGTCATAGCCTGCCACTCAGCGCTCGCCGCTCGGAAACGGGGGAGGGTGCCAGAAGTATGCTAAGCACCCTGATGCCCATCTGCCTGAAGAGAGGTCGTTCTGGCAGCGGCTGCCGCGAGTCCTTCAGGCCGCCTTCGGCCGGTTCATGGAGTCATGGGTCGGGTCCAAGGGTACATGGACTTGATACCTTTCCTACGAGAGCCTGCAGTCCTCGCAGGCTCGAAACATTATAGGCTCTAACTAAAGCTGTACCCCCCCAAGTCGATCAGGCAAGATCAGGCAAGGCACAGCTCTACAGTGTCCCCGAGACCACCGAAGCCTCGAATCTCAGTGCTAAAGCTTCCAGCTCATAATCCGAGAAGTTTGCGGGGTCACACTGCAGTGAACGTGTATCGAGGTTATGAAGACACGCGGCTAGTACTGTACAAGGTTTGACGCCCCTGATCGCTTCAAGAAACATGGTCAGCGGTAAAGCGCCCTGTAGACTCCTCGAGAACTGATGCAAGAGGCTCAGCTGAAGGACAAGACCTGCCGGGCACCCAGGAATCAAAGGTGTCAGGGTATGGGGTCGCCTGTCGTGCGATATGGCAGATGGCCTTGTTGCCAAGAATAGGCAAGCATTGTGCCCCGACATCCTGCTTCATCCACTTCGGCGATACTGGCCGGGCCCTCCTACTGAGCGCAAGATCCGGAAGCTCCCGAGGCAAGTCGCTCTCAAAACCGAAATCACCAAGGCCTCAACACCTGCTAAAGCGGAGCTCTGCAAACCTCTGCATCAGATGAGCCATTCGTGAGGTGCGAACTATTGCCTCGGCTCCAGAGCTCTGCCGCGCAGCTCCTGCACGGAAAATGCGCGGCCAAGAAAACAAGGGGTGCAGGGTTTCAGGTTGTGTCCATTGTGCTCTGGTCGAAGCTTTTGAACTGAGGCTTGTAGTTTTCCAAGTCAAGAAGGAAAGAGCAGGGGATGAACATCGTGAAGAAAATTTGGGCATGTAATTTCCCTACCCTTCACCGTTATGGTCATTCGTGCAGTGGGCTCGCGGCTCATGAGCCGTGGCCCATTGCTCCAGTTCGTGAGTGTCTACTTGTCAACCGTCAACGAGCAACCGGGTTGAAGAATGACTGGCGATTGCAATCCTAGTCTCTGCTATGTGTCTAGGTTCACTAGCTACTAGCAGTCATTGTGGGTCAAGCTCATACTGTCTTTGGCTGGGTATTCTTTAGGTGTGCAACATTGGTGGTACACACGTGTGGGTGTGTATTGTACGTACGTACGTACGATTGTATATATGTATGTATGTATGTATATATGTATGTATGTATGTATGTATGGATACATACATACATACGTACATACATACATACATACAGCTAACAAGCACTTGTTTTGCTTTAATGCCTGCCTCCGTGTCCGTGTGTCTGAGTGTGGGCGGGGGTACCTCTGGACTTTCGCATCTAACTATCTTCTTGGCGGCATTGGTTGGGCACCACGATCAATGATTCAGCACCAGATATTCGCAACAGGACCACCAAACTGGCAGATTCCCGGATCATGGTCCCTTCGCGTAGCCACTGGAAACATGCGTTCCCTGCGCAACCCACCTGCTTGCTTTGGGCTGCATGATGACATCTAGCGAGCTGCGCTTGAGCGCCCAGCATCTGGGCAAATGCTGAAGCTTCGGATCAAGATGTCTGAGAGCCCATTGGACGCTGTGTAGCGGCACTTTTGTCTATGTCGCGTGAATTTCTCACCCCGGGGTAGACAGCAACGCAAGTTGACATCCAGTGTTTTCATCCATTTGCAAGCCGCGGTCAAGTCTGCGAAATCTCTCAACCCAGGCCCGAATCCCTAAACCCTAATCCATGGCCTCAGCATCCTCATGAAAAGCCTATTAAGCCTGGAAAGCTGGAAGAGATGGTGTATAAAGGGAACCGATAGCCCATCGAGCGCCACACGCTCTCAAGGATCTGAATTTTGCGGTGGCTGGCTCAAGCACTGCTACATACGATCACTGTAGAACTGTAGCCAGAAATCACACCAACTCTCATCGTGGGCGTGCAAGTTTTTGTAGTGCGAGTCCCGCCCTGCCGTGAAGTTTGACACCAATGGCTGGCTAGGGCCCGCAGGAGGCTAGACAACACACACACACACCACACCGCGGCAGTAATCCAAACAGCACTTGTCAGACGTATCAGTCATGAGTCATAAGGACAGTCAGAGTCACAGCCTCAGCTGGCTGAATACAGCCATGAACTGCAAGTTTTCCAAGCAAGCTGCCTCGGCAGAAACGCCAAAGCTTAACTCTAGATTTTAGATTTCAGGGTCAGTGCCGCGCTGTACCAGCAAAATGGGCACGTCCTGCAGCTGCATCTCGGCAATGCTTGGCAAAGATGCTGGCGTTCCAAACGTGTACTGTAGCATACTGGTAGCAGTGGGAGTGAGAAACTACAAGGTAGTCATGACGAAGCGATGATAGCATTCTAAATCGAAGCAAAAGTTTCTCTCAGTCACAGTCCCCCAGGCCTCAAGCTGCAAATCCTCAGAGTGTAAGACAATTGTGAGCACAACCGACAAAAGCGTGACAATTGAGTTAATGCCTATGACACAGCCCCCCATCCATATCCATACTCACAAGACGGAGGGTATTATATTCCATATCGAAAGCACAGAAGATGTGCAGAGCCATTACAAAAAATCTGCTAATATCCACACTACGTCGATTAGATATTATTCCTGCAATTGATACTCTATAGGAAAACAATCGCTTTCAACCACTTTGACAACCCAACAAAACCACACCCTAAAAGCCTGACGGTGTGAATGAACCACAAACATCCAACAAAACCAGCATGCAAGCCAGCCTCACCGAAACCCAAGCCACAGCATTTCCTCGTGAGAACTCAGGCGACTGCAGCAAAAGCTCGGCAATTGGTCATGTTTACAGGGTAGATGCGCAGGACTGTTTCGCCTTGTTGATTTCGACATGCGTTTGGCGCACAGCAGGATGATTTGAAATGCCTATGTCAGTTTGGCTTGGGTTTCGCTGGCACTTCCAAAGGGCTTCCTGCCATGGCTGACCCTTTGTGAGCCCTGTTTTCGGGTCGGGTGAGTTTGTGAGTAGTTGAACAGTGGCAAAAAACTGGGTCCAGAGGATGTTACAGCCATATACAGACGTAAAAGATTATGACAACACTCTTCGAAACGCCGCGACAACGGCAATTAGTATGGGCGTTGAAGAACTTGTTTTCGAGCCTGGGTTTTGTGGCGATCGCTTGGTTTGGATGCCCAGCATCTACAACTAAGTTGCTGAACCCCTTCAAGCCTCAGCGGGTTGTACGGAATGTGAACACAAACCTGTTAAGCCACCTATTTTAAGCATTTTAATCCTGAACCTAAGTGTTTCGAACAATCATGCCTCGACGTAAACGACGCTTCTGCCTTTGCCTTGAAAGGTCATCAGAGACCCGCACTGAGTTGTTTTTTTATGCAGTTCTGGCTTAGAATTCGCAGCCTCCAGGATCACAGACAACAGAGAGTCCGGGAACTGCCTGTTTTCAGGCCCGTGGCCTTCTTCGGGGCTCAGGGCATGATCATGTTTTTCCAGGTTGTCTCGTTTTGATTGGCATAGTTAGCGGTTAATGATGGTTATGACTATTGTGACAAAAGCGTTGATTGTTGCTACGACATTCTTGTTGTTGGCTGCAAGCTCTCGGATCAACATTCTGCTCGTGCGGATTGTGCTCGTGGAGGTGCAGGGGCTTCACTAGTCAAGAGTAACACTAACAAACCCCTTCCGATCCTCAAAGTAGGCTGTCGTAAGATTCCACGTATCACACGGTTTCGAGCCTCGGTTTGTTGCGGTGATGGCTTGCAGCATTCCTTCGGGGAATTCGGCTGCCTGGGGCAACCAAGTAAAATCCGTAAGCCTGAAACGTAGGTGGGAAAGGCTTCGATTATGAGAAAAGCCATCGTCTTCGTCTCGTAATTAATGGTTGAACTACTGTATGAGTCGTAGTCGTAGTAGTCGTCGTCGTGGTGGTGTTGAGCGGGATGGCAGCAGTAGCAGAAGCCGCTGCAGCAGTGTTAGTACAACAACTGCAGCAGCAGCTGCTGCTGCTGCTGTAACATCCAGAAACTACAGCAGCAACAACAACAACTACTACTGCTACGACTACGACTACTACTACTACTACTACTACTACTGCTACTGCTACTGCTACTTTACTACTACTGCTACTACTACTACTACTACTACCACCACCACCGCCACCGCAGCCACCACCACTGCTATCACTACCACTACAATACCAGTACTACATCTCTGCTGCCACGATTGGTCCACTCAAGCTTCACCCGCGAGGCATCTCGGGGATGCCGAGATTCAGGAGGCCAAGGGTTCAGGGCTTCAGTGTAGTAAAAATTAGTAGTGCCTGGAGTTTGCCCCTGAGTTTGCCCCTCATGCCCTGTGGCATCAGAGCAACCCGGATTCCCGATCGCTTCTTACGCTTTGGGAAAGGTCTTTGAGGGCTATACCAGATTATGAAGCCAGTACGCGGATTGCCAAGTTTGTGCTCCAATATCAGACAGACAGCCCCCGGAACAGCTGCTGGCAGGTTGCACGGCGGCTACACTTGGTGCACTACCTCCCGGGCGACGCAATCATCCGCCAGGGTGAGGCAGCGAAGCAGAGGAAAGAAGGAGCTTTTTGTCAGGAGGATCACGAGAAGGGTTTTGATGTGTTGATTTGTAACCCACCCTCAACTCTCTCCGACAGGAAGAGGCCTCTGACTTCTTCATCGTCGATCAGGGCCACTGTTCGGCACACGCTCCTTGGCACTCCCAGGGAGCTGGGTTGAAGGGTGGGAGGTTACAGTTTCTTGAGGAGGACCTGGGCGCATGATCCAGGTAGCGTTCCCCCGCCAGTCTACTGACCATAATCAAATTGAATCATAAGTTACATGATAATGACGAGTATCGACATCACCTGTAGCATGCCACAAGAGTCGTGCAGTAGCAGTCCGTAGAGCATAGCAAGAAAGGCAGCTCTGCAGCCGCAAACTGCAGAAGTCTAAGCCTTCAGAAGCTCTTCGCTCAAAGCGGAAATGCTCCTTCGACCGAACCAGGAGTCTGCTTGCACTCGTATCCCCTTAAATTTCCTATATTCTTAGCGCCCCAAAACCCAATCATTGACTAAGGCCCCCATATTCACCCGACTCAGCTTTCTGGCTCGCCCTAAACCCTGAACCCCTAAACACACGGATTTCCTGCGGAGAGACCGGGGGCCATAATCAAAGAACCGAAACCCTGAGACCCCAAACCCGAAACCCTGAACTCAACCGACGAGGTGCAGGATGCCGAGGGCATGCGGGTGGTCCGCGAATACAGCCCAGGCTTGGAGCCCTAAAGTCAAGAGTTATGCAGAAACTCGTAAGGGGCTGTATTCGTCGGTACCATTTTACCTAGACTTGTAGAGGTCCTGTAAGGGGATACTATTACTAATGAGTCTGTAACATACTAGATTAGTGAAGAAGTAGTGGTAGTATACCCGCATAATAACTAATGATACTCAAGGTAGACTACTTCTCGTGCTATGTGGCATTGACAAGAGATCCGCCACTGATCTTGGTGGTATGGAGACCGGGTTCAAGCTAAGTTGAAACCAGAGTTTTATCGTTTTAATAGTGCAGGTTGCGCTGTTTTTTTCAGAGGCGGCTGTTTGTTTGCGGCGGTGCTGCTTTCGAAGTCTGCCTCAGTCACATACAGTGGTATAAAAGTGGAAGTTGTCTAGCAAGGGAAGTCATTGTCAAGAATGTGTAAGATTGGTCCAGGATAGCAGCAGTGGTTGGTGACCACAGCACTTGCAGATATCTCCATCACTTCAGCATCACCACGATGAGGAGCATCACCTTCACAGTCACCATCTCGGTGTCAGGGTGATCTCGATGACTGTCAGTAACATCATTGCAGTTCACTAACATGTCGAACAACAATCGCATCGAGTGGAAGAGCACCAGATGTTGTAATTGTAGTCATATTCACCAGAAAATAGCTCTTGGTAGCAGCTGTGAGCATGATCGTAGTCAGCCAGGAAACCGTTGTGTGCTGACACCTTGTGCACAACAGGCGAAGGGTTCGGCGAACGAGCGCTGCTCCGCGACGAGCCACGTGCTGCGACGGTTCTTGCCGACGAAGAGGCATGAGACCTTCAGAGAGGATTCATTCATGGGATCCACTTTAGTTTGGTTGCCAGGGCGTCACACCGGCGGTCTTATTCATATTGAAAAATCTTATAAATCTTATTTAACAATGGTTGAGCGACGAGCGCAGCTTCAAGCTTGGGGCGCATGCATCTGGTAATCCTGGAGGAGCAGAAAGGTTGCGCATGCAGCCTGCCAAGCTGCACGTGCACAAGAGGCAAAGCAAGGCCAAATTCGCCTAACCTTGCCTAAACCAACGATGCGTGGCAGGCAGCTGTCTTCCGGCGACTCGGCCGCAAGTTGGAAGCCCTAAACGAACTGCCGTCCCACAGAAGTATTTTTTAGTAGCTCTGTTACAACAATGTGAGTCTGACGATGCCGGCCACAATGATGCGGAGGATGGTTAGGACAGCAATATTAGCAGCAGCAGCAGCAGCAGCAGCAGCAGCAGCAGCAGCAGCAAGATGCTGAGAACTTGTTCGGAATCGGGGCTTGTACCCTCCAAGGCTAAACCGTGACGACTTCGTGGCCGTGATTCGCGACCGAGACCACAAAGCATCTTGGCAGCAGCGTCTCGGGAGTAGGCCGAGCAGTCCGTACAGGTAAAGGCTCGGTATAAGGTACGTAGCCATCCCGGGGATTCAGTGGATGTAAACCGATCCGACCTGGGGCCTGAGGTTTTGGTTCTTGGCAGCTTCGGGTCTGGAGGTACCCAAACTCTGAACCCTGGACAACGCCCCATCCGTGACTGTAGGGAAGCACCCTATAGACCCTACACTGAGCCTGGATGGGTAGACTTAGGAAGAGCTCATTCGGGGAGCCAAGCTGTTTGAGACCATGACGGACGAGCAGGCTTGCCTTTGTGATAGGGACATGGATGGACATGGCATATCACAGTCTCATGTGTGTGTGTGTATATATATATATATACATACATATATACACATACACATGTGTGTGCATACATACACGCACACACACACACACACGTGACTGCGTGTAAATATCATAGAGAGAGAGAAGTATTCCTGCACACTTACCATAGTAACACACACAGATAAATAGAGAGTGTAAAAAACTAGAATGGTATGCGTAGGTATATATATATATATATAATTATGTACATGCACATGTATATGCAGGCATGTGTATGTGCATGTATACATAGAAGTATATATATATATATATATACGTATATGTATATTTATTTACTTTTTTGTATGTATGTACGTATGTATGTATGTATGTATGTATGTATGTACGTATGTATGTATGTATGTATGGATAAATGAATGGAAGGATGGACGGATGGATGTACGTATGTATCTGTGTATGTACACACATATATATATATATATACATACAGACATACATACATATATACATATATTATGGGTATATATGGTTGCTGTCGTGGTGTATGTCTGGTTTTTATTCGGGTATACATACATGCATGCATACGTATTGATTTAGTGTGCGGGGGGTGAAGTTTGGGACAGGTTCCGTCTTCATGAGTGTCAGAATTCGAGCGGGTGTTATTTAGTAAGGCCGGGTTTCACTTGGGCACTGGAGCTGTGAATCTTATGCTTTCACAGGGAAAGCCGATGTACCATCTTCCTGCTCCCGATAAGTTTTCGATGCCACAGTTTGAAATGGTGGGTCCCCGTGTGTAGATTTAGACTCTATGCGATTGTACGAGGCAGGGAGCTGGACAGCACCTGTTCACGAGCTTTTCAGCACAGCGAAGGCACAAACCCAAACCTCAAACCCAAATCTTCCCCCTACAACTTTACAACCCCCTGCCCTTCATCCCCTGAACCCTGCGCCTGTCAGGTGCGTCAGCTGGGCTCTTTGCTCAAGATGAAGACCTTCAAGCCGCTTCGGCGGAATAGTTGTTTTTTGCCCAAGCGTGTGCTAGTTGGGCTTGGGGACTTGGAGCGTCGGATGCAGAATTTCACCACAATGCTTGGAGCTTCAAGCATCAGGCCCTGAATGGTAGGCCAAGACAACGACAAAGACGACGAAAAGAAGAGTTCACTCAGCAGCCGACGGCAGCTAGTGGTCCATCTAGAGGTATGAATACATAACACACACACATATATATATATACACATATATATATATATATTATAGTACAGAATCACTATCCCGATGACTTGTGGGGGGACAGCCAGGGCCGGCACTGACATCATCAAGCAGGGCGACCCCGGTGCGGAGTTCTTCATCCTGGATTCGGGCGTGCCTTCGCTCCGGCGTAAACTGGGTGGTAAGTTTCATCTGAAGAAAGATACGGGCTCAAGACCGACAGCAAGCAAACACCATGAAGGAAACATGCCAAATCTCCCATGCCTCATCGCAACCGAGGAGTGCGTGGCTGTGGTTACATCTGGAAAGAGCAGCCAGGCGTGGTCTCGGACAACGGATAGTGCTTCAGGAATGACTCGTAAACTCACCTTTCTCCAAATGCCAAAGCCCAAGGCATCCCTGAGTAATTGACACCTTTGAGAGCTCGAGACTTGAACATCTTAGGTCATGACGCCCTAAAACTCACAATGCCCCGAAACCCATGAAGACCCTCGGGAATGTCCAGACGATGCTCAAATCCTCGACGTTGCAGACAAACTGTAGCCCTGTGAATTTCGCGGGCTACAACATTTTGAAAGATTATCCCGGAACGGCAGGAGGTGATGCGCTACAGCGCAGGGGACCTCTTCGGCGAAAAGGCAAGGAAGGGTTGATGTCATCTTCGGATTTATGGCGATTGGAGATGCCGTGGGGCGGAGTTATGGCTCTGCAAGGGCTGGAGTGCTTGCGGCAGTTGAGGTTGGGATCGAACTCGTTTTCAGCTCCATAAAGGGAGGTAGCTAAAACAGGTCCCAGAGCAGCGCTCCTGGCCCAAGGCCTCCACCATCTCAGCCTCACAGACTCCTTTGAAATGAATTTCAACATAGCAGACACATGCCCAGAGCACGGGACTCCCAACTTGGCTTTGGGCTTGGCCCCCCTGCCTCCTTCTCAGGCGCTTTTGGAGTCCGCCCCACGCGGAGCAACGACGCCTGGCGGCACATACGAAAGACGAGTGCGAGGGGCCTCCGTGCTTTCGGTTAATTTGAGAATCGAAGAAGTGTAATCTGAGGCTTTTGTGCGGGAATTTGCATTGCGGCTTGCTTGCCGGGCTATGTCAGGCTCAACTTTCTCAGATTCTCCAAGAGCTTCAAGACGAGCTCTCCCATCCATCACAAACTCTCGACCTGCACCCAACTCGAAGTGTCCAAGGCCTGGGTTCAGCTTACCCTACATGCCGAAATCTGCTTTGCTGTGATATGCACAGTCAGACGAGCACTAACACAACGTCGAACAACCCTCAAGCCCTCTCGCTTAACCCGTGTCTCATTTCTTTATCATTTCTCTGTTTGCGAACTGCCCAGGATCTCCGCAGAGACGGACGTGGTGACATATACGTTCCTGAGTCTGCAGCAGTTCAGTTGGAGGAGGCTTAGAAAGCCTATGTAAACCTCTGACGCACTAAAGGGCCTACTCACAGGCGGACCTTGAAGCCGGACCCTTTGAAGAGGCGGCTTCTAGAATCCAAACAAAGGTTCCTAAACCCTCAGTCTGTTTCAGTCAGGTAGAAGGGAAGCAGCAGACCCTGAGTCCGAGGGTAGAAAGCCCTGGAACCCACAAGCTTCCCAACTTCCAGGACGAGGAAGCCCTAAATTAGCTTAGATTAACTGAGACCAACCCTAAGACCCTGAAGCCCAAAGCAAGCCTTCGCACCCTAAAGTCAAGCCCTAAAGCTGTTGTCCAAAAAAGGCCTTCCTAAAGCCTTTAGTTCCGAGCTGAGCGAAGCGAGGCTGACGAGGGAAGACTTCGAGGCAGAGATGGGGCCAATGAGCCAACTCAAGGCAGTGACTGGGGCAGTGGTAGCAGTATTACAAGTACTATTGAATTGGTATGAATAGGTTTTCTTGTACTTTTTCGATGGTTGCCATGATTCGGACTGTTCCTACGTACTAATATTATTGTATCAGTCTCGTTTGTTATTGTTACTGTTAGCATGGAGCTTGCGGGAGTTGTCGTTTTACTTCAGTAGTAGAGAATCAGGTCGAAATTATGTCTGGGAGCTTATCTTCAGGTTTCGCGATAGTTGAAATCGCGGTGGTGGGGAGTGTTCACGCAGATGAATGATTCAGGGGTCCTACTAACAAGGCGGCACCCAGGATTCCCTTGTCCAGCATGTTTAGACTGCTTTTGCGCAGTGCATACGTGTTGTCTCGACCGTGCAAGGCCGGCGTTAGTTTTTAGCAGCACCCTCCACGTGGGCCACCTGGGCCTCAGGCTTTGGCTTGAGGTGCCGATACTTCTTGAACATGTTCCTCAAGGTTCTCTTCCTGCTCGTGCTGCTTGGGTTTTGCAGCTAAGTGGTGCGAGAGGGAACACTTATCCTGCTCCTTGCTGGGGCTGGAGAGATGATGAACAGGGTCATATGGTCGTATCGCCTGGGCTGGTTCAAGCATGCGAAGAAATTCGACAAAGGTGGCGACAGGAACTTCCATGCAACTTTCGTCCGGTTTAATTTATGCTGTCGCAAGGAACGGCAAGCACGTGCTGGTCGCGTACATCATGAGGGCGCTCTGGATTACTTCCATGTGGTGCGCCTGGGCTCTTGGCCTTCCCAGACAGGGGTGCAAAAATCTAACAAGCAGTTTCATGCACTTGGGCAAGCTTCGCGCTTTACATTGCCCTTGCGGGCATCGCAGTGCATCTGGCCTCGGCTTGGGAACCGGGGCCGTTCAGTTCCTCTCTCATTTTGGGAAGCTTGGGTGTGGGTTTCCATGCTTTCCTTCAGTCTGCTGCCATCTTGTGCCGGGATCGGCCCTTTGTTTGCCGACAGCACCCGGCAAAGAAATCTCTCTCCGCTTTGCTGGGTCGCAGTGCAAGTGGAAGAGACGACAGATCAAAAGATTGATTCGGCCGTGGGGCCCTCGGTGCCCTGTCCATAGGCCGTCTTTGAATGCAATCCTGCGGAAGCACATAAACATGCTGCGTGCATTCGCCGCCCAATGGAAGGCGGGTTGCAGGTTCAAGTGGAATCGGCATCGCTGTAGGTGCCGCTGGAGAAAAAGGCATGAGCTCCTTTGGCTGGCCACGCAGCCAGCGCAAAGGCGCCGCAAGCCGGACCCGAACACAGGCCATTGCACGGAGAGGCGCGACTCCTTGGTTGCGGGATGCCAAGGAATTTCGGTGTGCTCGGAACCCTCTGAGACAGCCGTTGCCTTGCTCACTTCACAGTGTAATGACCAGCCATGCCAGGATTTGTCGAAGCCGGAGCTGCCCTTGCCACTTTTACGGGGAGGTAAGGGATGCAAGGCACACAAGCAGAATGGCAGCAACGATTTGCAGGTTCAGGTGGCCATGCTTCTTGCTAGAAGCCCACAGAACCTGCTGCAGGAACTGAAGGGTCTTGTGCAGCAAGCTACAAGATCAGCGTCGCAAGCAGCCCCCACCCCATGGACAAGACACACTGCTCAAGCACCAATCGCGAACGCCCCATGGAGGCGGCAACGCAAACAGCCTGAAGCAACCAAGAGCGAGCATCAACAACCGAAAGCAAACCGATGGAATCGCAAGCCAAAGGAAGAATGGCATGAGGTCCGTTGGCTTATTCGGGCTGAGGACTGGACCAAAAGAGCAATTGCCCCTGTTGTGCTTCATTCGCCTCAGGAACTGGCCCGACATCTGGATAAGCATGACGACGGCACTCCATTTCTGAGGACCGGGCCGCCGAATGTTTCCAAATGCTGGCAGGTGCACTGGATGGTCAGGCAACGATTGTGCTCACCAATGTCACAGCCAAGAAGACTGAGGACTTTAGCCCGGACCTGCGCAAGTGGGCTACCGCCGCCCACCGTACTCGTGTGTGTTGGTAAGATTGGTTCCCAAATTTCGGGGCGCATGTGTTGGCTCCTGTCGTTTGGGGAGTCGCCTCCGCAGATGAGCTCTAGACACCCGAGTGATAGTTTGCGCAAGTGGTTAAGGCAAGCGGCACCGGAAGCCGAACCGTACCTAGGCGACACATGGCGATGGCAGGAGACTCGACGTGGGGTCATCGAAGGCTTCCTTACCTTACAATGCTGCAACAGCCATCTTGACTTCGAGTGGCATGCAAAAACAGGAGATGATCTGGTTTGCCAACATCGTTGGCAAACCACCGCCCGGCTTCCAGGCCGATCGTGTTCAGTGGTGCAAATGGGTTGCACCCGAGACCTGGCAGGACTATGCTGCCCGAGTCAGGCGAGAGACCAGCTTTGGGGTCGTCCGGGGCGACTACCAATTGGGCATCAGGATGAGCTCCAATGACGATCGTTGGCAACCACCCGTAAGGAAATGGTCCCTGGACAATATGCCGAGGACACTGCATCACTCGGATGTGGTTGAGCTTTTGGTGTTATAGGATTTGCCGATGTGGCCCTTACTGGCCGAAGCAACCGTCGACAGCATGTCATGTGGTTTTTCACGGCGACCCGCCCCGATGATCAACAAGCAGTACAAGCTATCATTGACATGGGTGACCACAAGCTTGAAGTACAGGCCATTCTCGAAGCGAGGCGAAAAGCACAAACCCGAGAGACCAGGGCTTTGCAACCCGAGCGTCGCATCAGCTTTGAAGCACCTCCACCGGCGGAGGACCCGCTCGATGAGGTGCTCTACGATGAATCATTTGAGTGTTGGAATCCCTGCGACGAGGATTGCCCGATGGAGGAGAGCACAGGGGAGGATTGCACCACGGGGCGCAAACGCGCCAAGGCTGCAGCTGACGCTGTGCAGACCACTACGCACCGTGGCAAAAAGGCCTCCAAGCAAGCCAGAAAGGAGCACTGGATTCCACAGGGCACCGTACCCAATAGACCAATGAAGTCAGACAAGTTAACTTTGACTATGTGGGCAGATTCTTACCGCAGCGGCAAATTTTAATTATGCCGCGGCACTTTGTTTTTTAACTTTGCATTTGGCTTTTTGACTTTGCAACTTGACTTCGTAGGCAAAGCTAAAATTTTCCTTTTAACTTCGTGGGCAAACACGAATTGACTTCGTGGGCAAGAGTTTACCACGAAGTCAAAACGAAAAGAGTGGAAGTTTCCACTAAACTTCCCCTAAA